ACTCTTGGCATGCAGCAACTGCTTTGATTGAGCAGTTCTCAGTGACTTACGTGCCACTCTACGTTCAGCCCGCGAGCCATGCTCGGGACTACACGACAACTTGGATACTCAGATATCCAGTACATTGACTGTCTCGGCACAGTGTTCGCGCCTGCAGCGCTTCTGCCTCCTAGCAGAGGCGGGTTCGTGACTCACCAAAGCTCCTCCAGGAGAAGTGCGCGTAGCGTCTAAGATCTTTAGCCTCCAATCGATCCATTGGTCATGGATTTCCAACCAGGCCATACCAAGGATAAGGTCAAACCTTGCATATAAGTTTAAGACTATAAAGCGTTCCACGCTATCAAAGTCAAGGAACTTGACACCGAAGTTCACAGAGACCCTCGACACAGTGACCCAAGTCCCCGTCGCCAAGAAAACAATGACAGTGTAACTCAATCGCGCTTCCAGCGTCTCAGCATACAGCTAACTTCCTTCGGTCGTGGAGCGTCGAGCATTATTGCCCGACGAACCAGAACCGATAAGGATTTTCCATTGCTTATCAAAGCCTTCCCGGTCGCTTGAACAACCAGCAAGTCCGGCTTGCACTCACGTTTCATGTTCAAGAGCACACAGCTTCTTGGGGCTGGACCATGCTGCCCGCTACCACTTTGATACTCAATGGAATTCACTTCTTCCCAATAGGGCGCCCCGCGCCTACTGGGTGTTCTCGTTTCCCCGCCACAAGTCAGGCTGGTCAGAAGCGGAATGTTGGTTCGACGAACCTTTACGCGCCTTGCGCAAGGGACAACACGTCCGAAGGTGACGTGTGTCTTCACAGACAAAAGTTCGTCGGGTGTTCAAACGACGCTGCCCGGCAGCTCGGAGCTCTCCCTTTTCTTTCTCAGCATAGCTGAGGTCCATTGGCTCAGGCCCGCTCGACGAGCTCTACGAATGTGCATTCCAACCAAGTCGAACCGAACAAAAGTAAAAATTCGGCATTCAATGCCACGTTCACCGCGCCTTCAAAAGAAGACGGATGCACACGGAAGACTTCCATTCCGGCCACGCCAGTGCGGAGGCCCTCCACAAAGACGGTCGCCGTGACCGCCTTGGGGAGATGATCGGCTGCCATCCCGGCAATGAAAGTACGCATCTCTAGGACAAAATTCACTTTTTTTTTCTTGCCCTGTCGGCGGCATGGAAACGCGATAGCACGCTACATGCATGGTTAGGCGGCGAGAAAACTCGCAGAAGCTGACGCTTTAGCTCCATCCAGGAGGAAAACGCAGCTCCACCCAGAGCATCGTACGTTTGTGCTTCTTCTCGCGCTCGTCTTCAAACTTGGTTATAGCTAGCGTCACGCGCTGTTGCTTGGTCTGAAGCATGGCGGACGCCATGACCATCGCGACCTTTCTCACCCAAAGCAGGAGATTCTCCCCATTTTGAGGATTTGACGCAGATTGAGTCGGGGGGTCATCCGTCGCCGACGGTGGCGTCATGAACGCAGTCGACGCCAACATCTTCTGCTCTAGGACTCAAGCAGAGCATTTTCATATCTTGAAAATTATTTTAGGCGCGCGCTGATCGCTTCAGGTCCTTGCGAAGCGAGGTGCCGAACGCCTTTAGGGTCAAATAGAGACATCAGCTTTTAAAGACCGTCCTTCATGCCCTGAAGTAAATAGGAGAACTGCTCCATCCTCACAGAGGGTCAGTCGTAACGACTCAGGTTTAGACTGACTACAAGTGCCACCAAGTGCAGCGGGGCTGCCGTAGCTCTTTCGCTTAGTGGTAGCTTGATTAAGGTCGGCGACCTTCGTTCTATACCTAGAATTAGTACGAGAGTAGCGGATCGCAATATGCTCACTCCAAGAGTAACTAAAAACTTAATCCATGGCTAATTGACTCTTTCGTTTCAAATATAAATTGCATTTCTCGGTTTTATTTGCGGCAAATGATCCCGACCGTTCTGCAATTATCGCTTATATTGAATATAATTCAAAATCATATTTAATTCTAGCTATATTTAAATATGTAGGTTTTCCTTTCTATGTAGTAAAATCTAATTAAATGCATAACCACTGCTGTTATCAGCCACGCATAATCTGGGATGGAGTACTTATAGCCAGCTACTGACTTATAGAGGTGTAGCCACACCATTGTGTAGAAAAACATTTTGTGTAACAAACACCACATTTTTATCACACCATCTTGTGTGGCCCACACACACCCTTCATACTCCGGCCAGTCTGCGTCTAAGTAAACGTGACAACTACCACCTCAGACCACTTCGTCGATGGCGTGTGGCTTTGTGTCATGACTGTATATGATAATTATCGTTTGTGTTGATGGTATGGGCACAAACTTTTAGCTTAGTATTGGTAGGGCATGTTTTTTTTGCTTTTCTGGCTTGATTCTTCCTTTTTTGTTTGTTTGAACCTGTTTGCTCTTTCAAACGTATACATGCAACTTTGACACTATGTTTCGCACATTGGTCGGAATTTAGGATCTGACTCTTCGTGTATAAGCGTGCTGTTATTTTTCTTGAGATCGTAAGAACGAACAATTATCTAGCCCTTAAGTATTGCTCGATCTTTGTTCCCGAGGGCCAACTCGAGCTGGCCGATGTCCGTCACCTTACATCAGTCTATTTGCGTTATCTTGGTGTCTTCGCGTATCGCAATGGTTTGTTTGCGAAGATGAGGTCGTCGACATAGAAAGAAGTAAAAACTACGCCTGGGCATCGCACTTTAAGTTATTCTTATGGTTAGACTCATACTTCCAAATCCCAAGCTGTAGCATAAAGATGTCGTTATCTTGTCCTTTACAAGCTGTGTCTGATTTAGTCTGTACAGAAAACGTCTAGCCTTGCTGACGGTTCCAAGATATGCATTTGTCCTGCATTCCGTTAAGAAAAGAAGTCTTGACATCGATCTGGTGAAAAACGGTTGGCTGCCATACAATGAACATTCGAATCGACATGAGGATGATGTAGATTGTACCGGATGGCTGCTGTCTTGTCAGATTCGTGTTCCTTTCTACAAGCTCAGCAGTAAACAAATTCAGTCATTGAGCATAAATGGATCTCGATATAATGCTTGTGTACTGACCGGAGTTGCCGTCAGGAAGTTTGACACAAACAGTCCGCGCTGACAAATGCACAGAGGTTGCGGAGTAGAGTGTTGCTAATTATACTAAGTCGTTCCTCAGCTTAGATATTTCTGATCCAGTTGACTCAACTAAATACATACTTCTACCACTCACGATGAAACCACGTGCCCAAATATCCACAGAGCTCTACTTAGCGCATCCTCCAAGATACTGTTACTCGGTATAATGAATATTCACAATTACAATGTGAATTTCGTACAATTGTACAGCTTTTGAATTTAATAGAAGTGTCAGGGTTAAGTACAGTCCTCATCACGTTACATATATGGCTACCTCAATCGAAGACAGTAGAGTCAACGCCATATAGATGACGAGCGGGACTTCAGCCAATGACTACGACGAAGTCTTCGAGTGTTTGTGCAATCTCATTTTAGTTCGAAAATTAGTTGCATTTTATTCTGACTTACAAAATTGCTTTAAAATTCACTCCAATTACAGTCTATATGACTATCCGATAACAGAGGTAAAGCTAGACGAATAAGATGCCTCTTAGCACGACTTCTTGTGGCTCCAACAGCTCTTCGTCAGGGTTTTCTAGCGATGAGGATACAGTGGACGTGTCAGACATGACATCTTCGTCATCGTGTATCCCTAGTGTTCACGTTGAGGTGTTGGACGAGATCGAGGAGATATGCACAACGCCCGCATCTTCTTGTATCCCGATCGATTCACAGGTCTCTCTAACGTCCTCCAACATATTGCAATGCTGTCGTGAAGTGACCGATACAATATTGCAGACTTCAAAGCCGCTAAATTTCCAATACGAGCAATATACTGCAGCAATTGACCACATTACGAGCCATTGGCCGACGGCTGAGCATGAAAACAACTTGAAATCGTACCACTCTCTTCGTGCAAAGCTTTATGGAACCTTTCAACTAGCGCATCCTTTAACGGAAGATATGTACTTTCAATGGATCAAAGACTGTCTTGTTCGTGGAGACACAATTGAAGAGCTTAAGAGGATTTATAAGCTATCACAAACCGATTATTGGTCCGTGTCTTTAACAATGGAGTATTTAAGATTAATAAAGGACAATGGAAACGATGAAGAGCTCAAATTAGCCATGAATAAGGCACAAACGACGGTCGGTATGCATTTTACAAGAGGCCACGAAGTTTGGGCACTTTGTCGGGAACTCACGACGGAAAAGTACGAGGATAGAGATACGAATGATGAGCTGAAGAAGGAACAGACAATACGAGAGCTTTTTTGTAAGCAAATGCGATTGCCATTGGATCAGAACGATCTCGTGATGTCGGAATTTCGTGCTTGGAACACGTACAACACACGAGATGCTAAGGCTTCAATATCTGCTTTCGAAGTGGCTTTAGAGCGACAATCGAAAGTATATGCACCATTAATGAAGAAATTGAAAACGTATGAAGCCAATGTGAATGCGATGGACAACCCTGAGCAGAATTGGCAGCAGTATTTGAACTTTGTGAAACATCGAGTTGCTTCGGTAATGCTAAGTGAAGATGAAGGGAAGCAATATGTCGTATGTTTGTACGAACGCGCTTTATCGAGCGTATGTTTGAGCTCTCCGTTGTGGACTAGTTACTTAAATTTCGTTGAGTCGAGTCTCACACAATCAACACTAGCAGTTGCTCGAAGAGCAGTACGGAATGTGCCGTTTGACTCTTCAATTTGGACGAGATTGCTGCTTGAAATGGAGTGTCGAAACGTAAATTTCGAGGAGGTTTCACAACTGATAGAAAGGGAATTCTTTGAACGATCGAATTTGCCGTTAAATGAGTTACATCTGCTTAGTACGTTGCTCACATGGTGCGATTTGGTACGTCGGCACGTTTCAAGCAGCATATCAAAGGAATGCTCGTTTGAAGATACGATTCGACGTGTGGAAACCCAGATAAATAATGTCTTTCACGAGTGTCAGCAGCTAATAATGAGGGCGTATCCGAGCTACATGGAAGGCAAGTTGCGACTGGCAGAATACCACGCAAAATGTTACTGGACACTTTTGTCAATGAATCGAATACCAGACATGAGAGTCGTGGACAAAATGAACGAATTATGGCAAAAGACGGTCTGTACCGGTCTTGGAGATTACGCGGCAACTTGGATTGCCTACCTGGATGCTCTTTTACGAACAAATAGTATTTCAGTTGAAAGGATTCGTCAGATCGTGTTTGATGAAGCAGTGCAGCGCGTGAAGGAATCACCGTTGACTCTGGCCAACTCATGGCTTGTGTTTGAACGTGAAAATGGCGATTTGACCAACTATCTTCGCGCCCGACGGTACTATGAGAAGCATTGTGCGTCCGTACAATTTGCAGCTTCATCTGATGCTGTGGTGTTAGCAACTGATCGCGACGAACCAGCTGAAAATGTAAAAAAACGGAAAGCTAGTGCTAGTAAGCAGTCAAAACCGGCTTTTAAACAACCGGATTTGAAACGTGCAAAAGCTAATTCGTGCAAGTCCAAGAAGAGTAGCAATACGACACCGAAAAGCACCGAGAAAAAAAAGCAGTACGAGAAATTAACTAATGAACATACGCTATTCCTGTGCAACGTGTCGAAAAACGCGAGTAAAGGTGATATTGAAGACTTATTTCGCGATATTCCGACGTTAAAGGATGTTCGACTAGTTGTCAAGACGCGTGGCGACCGGGTTTTGTCACGTGGAATGGCGTACGTCCAGTTTTCGGACGAGGAAGGTGTAGAAGCTGGACTTAAACGAAATGGGTTTCTTTTGCATGGACATCCGCTTCGCGTCGAGCGATCCAAACCTCCAGTCACGTCAGCTTCTACAGCTGGAAAATTGAATAGCCAAAGCTTTTGGAAGTCTGATCCCTTGACGTTGTATATTGGCTATTTGAATCGCGAAGGATCTAAGGAGCAAGTGACTGAAGAACAGCTACAAGTGGCGTTACAACAGTCTATGCAAACAGCGGGTGAGCTTGTGGTTGTCACTCGTGTGTTGATTTTGAAGGACCGACATGGGAAATGGAAAAATTATGGATTAGTAGAAGTTGCTGAACCTTCCCAAAATGCTTTTTGTTTGGCCAATGTGGCTGCACTTCAAGCGACATTGGGTGACCAAGTGACGATTACACCTTCGCGGTTTTCCATTGCTCATATTCTGGAGCAGCAGAAAAAGCAGCAAAAGCAAAAACTAGAACGTAAATTAGAAAGCAACAGTGCGAAGGCACCATCTGATCGACCGCTTACGAGACTAAACATCGGTTCGACAACAAGTTTGTTGCCACGTGCGTGCCGCCGGAAATCGGCAGTGTCTACAAACGTGTCAGAGACTGCATGTACTGTGCCAAAGACTAATGAAGAATTTCGAAAACTGTTTTTAAAGTAAGCTAAGCTAAGTCAAGAATTGGAAAAAGGTTTTGAAACTTTTAACCATCAAGTGTTTCTTTTAATCGAAAACAATTGTGACTGGGCTTTTGATGCCATCGACGGCACAATAAACTAACTAAATAAACTGCCTCTACGACATGATTCATCATCATATCACTTAGTAGCATCAACATCAGGGTCCAACAAAAAGGAACGTCCATTATTACTGCAATGTCCATGGATAAGCTTTTAATAACATTAGAATTCATTGGTTTCAAAACTTCATATCAATACTAGCTATGCTCTTGACGAAACTGTACTAGAGCTCGAGTCGAACAATCTGCTCCGTAGGTCTTGACTCAGGGAAACAGACGGAAATGAAGTCGCTCAATTGCTTGCAAGAAGTAAATTGCTGGCATTCAGTCTCACCAAGATAATATAGACCACCACATTGTCCCCATGCCTTGACGCCTTGAATTTCATCTACCATGACAATATTCTGTATCTCATTTGAACCTTGAGAAGTTGTTGAGTCTTGTGTGATGTCTTCTGAACTATTAGAAACATCGTCAGATGAGCTGTCGGAAAGACTGTCGGATGGTCTAATTGAGTCACTCGGATTCGTCAAAGTATCATTGTCTTTGGTGCGAAGGCGAGCCGCATGTGTTGGAGTAGCTGCTAACAAGAAGAGCGTCGTCACCAGGAGTCGCAGCGACGTCATATTTGTCTACAGTAAGAGACGGTGTGCTGCCTTGGCCGAGAATTCGGGACTGCCCATACAATAGAGGACATGATACCGAATTCTCTTGATTATTTTACTGCTCTACAATATAAAAATAGAGTTTAATGTCTTGATATAATTGCACATATACAGTGTATTTTCTGTGTATAATCATTTGCAAGAGTATATAACTTGTCTAAATGAAATTTACAAAAACATTGCGGTAAGTATAAATTGCCCCGGCCATGCGATATGTCTAATCAATTTGTTGTAATCTACTGGATGTTCCCATGAGGAGGATCAGCTAATAATAACCAACTACTTCCATCCTCATTTCGATTTCCAGCATAAAGTCGAGAGGTAGTTACTTGTATCTCAGTTATTCTATCGTTCGACGTACAAGACATGCGGGTGGTAAGGACTGCAGGTGCTATGTACTGGCACATTCGAGACTACGTCTTTTCCAATGAATCTTCTGGCTTAGTTCCGGCTCTATCAATAATGTTGTGTTGTTCTTTCGTTAAAAATGAAATGCTGAGCATTAAAATTATAATGTGGCTCAACATTATCACGAGTCTTTGCGTAATCGAATGAGCTGCATGAGTATGATCCAGTTCAGATGACGACATATGTGAAAGGCAGACCTTCCATCATTTTTCCTCATTTGTTACCGTATATTACATTTATATAATGGAAAAGAGCGACTTGGTGTACATTAAAAGGACTGCATAAGTTCTAGCAGCCACCCATTAATTTGAAGATGATGACGTTACCTCGCTATTGCAAATTATACATTTACCAGGATGTATATTTCATTCATTAAATTACCAAAAAGGAAAATTACGTTAACGCAATAATTAAATGGAATATATGAAAGAAGCCTTAAATTTCTCTTCTGTTTCTCATGTCTGTGCGGGGACGCATTGAGAATACCATTCATTCACATACTTGCATATGGAGCCAGTGGTGCACTCAGTTGATCCAATGTGGTTAACACCACCACATTGATCCCACACCTCGAGAGGAGCTAAACCAATCACTGGTTGACACTGAAAATACCAAACATCCACTTCTTCACATGAAAAACCTGCTGCACATGAAAGCTTAGTCGACCAGTTAAAAGAGGTTCCATCGTCTAAATATTTCGAGTAGTCAAATCCAGAACCACCACATTGATTCCATGGCTGGATTAGCGGCATTTCGCTTGATGGTGATGAATTGATAGGTGCTGAGATGGAAGTTCCGCTTACGATACCAATGCTGGCTGTCACTGAAACGTCCGAGCTCGTAGCCGCTGTAGTCACATATGGGGCGTTGGTCTTTAGATTTCCCGCCGGAATTTCAATTACACGCACGTCCGAAATATTTTTCGAATCTCTCGAGCTGAAGACTGCACCTGAGTCCACTGACGTTTTCAGATTTTGGGTTGGAACTTCGATGACGGATCCATTTGGCGTAATCGTAGAAGGATTTAAGTCAGAAGTATTCGATGACGGAGTTATTGAAGTCGACGAAGGTTCAGAAATGTCGTTATTGGCAGTTGAGGGGGGCGTTGGCGCTACTGTAGCCGGAACATTTGATGTATTAGAGGTTGGATCGTCTCCTTTAGATGGGACGTCAGTAATCGAGGGTGTTTCGTTGATAGTGAAAGTAGAAGCATCTGAACCAGATGCTTCAGTTGAGTCAGAAAACGATGTCTGAGGTGTGTCTAACGTGAGGTTTTTCGTAGTAGAAACCTTCGTTGTCGTAGACGTTGACATGTCAGAATTCGTCGGAATCTCTACATTAGACGAGTTCAGGACGTCAGGAGTAGAAGCGTCAACATCAAAGCCGGATACTGCATTTGAGCCGGATGTCGCTGGCCAGGTAGAGTTTGAGCTGGATGTCTTCAGATTTGGGGCTTCCGTATCTGACACGTTTGAGTCTGGAGCCTCAATTCCGATCGACCCTGACTTTGTTACCGGAATTTCTGAAGTTGTCGAGTTTACTGTATCGTTACTTTTCAATAGGTGAGTAGCAGGATCCGCGACGTCAGAAGTAGTTGATGAATCTAAGTCTAAGTCTAAATCTAAGTCTCCAGTCGAAGAAAATACTGCGATTGGATTTTTATATCGAGAACCATCACCAATAAAATCATCGAGATCGTTGAAGTCACTGTCCGAATCATCTATCCCCAATCCACTTCTAGATTGTGAATCACTTTCAGTAAGAAAAAAACTTTCTAGAAGTGCAGCCTCCTCAAACAGCATTCGTCCATTTTCTTTACCACGTAGATTTGGAGCATTCAGGTGGTTAGCAGTAGCAATTGCAACTGAAACAAAGCTGACGATTAAATGCAAGTTGGTCATTAAAGTTGATTAGAAATTGAAAAATGAAGAATTCAATTATACTTGCTGCAATGGATTCACTGCCATCGTGCACGTTGACCAAAAACATTCTTACCCCTGTAAGCAGTAGCTTATTTAGATGCACAACGGTAATGTGATCCTAAATAGGTACCTCATTTCAATGACAATTCCAAATTACATAAATAGCAAATTTCCATGTACTGTACAACAGAAGGTCTATCCATCCAAAAGTCCATGGACGATGCTCCGGCGGCGGCGCAAATATCACAGGCGGATATTATTGAGCGACAAGCGGAGACAATTGCACACCTTAAGCATCAAGTTTATAAAGGAAACGAGTATAAGCAGCTGACCAAGTCAAAGCTTAAGGAGGCAGCAGCGCGACTTAAAGAGTATCGTCTTCGTCTTGAAACGCTTTTACAGGTTCAAGAAACGTTGAAACAGCAATTAGAAACGGAGCAAGTTGCGCATGCAAAATTAAAAAAGCTTTGTAAAAACACTCCCAAGTCGGTAGAAGCACAGATCAAACCGGTAATAGTCCAAACTATTGCGACACAAACTGATGAGATAATATCGGTGACGCGTACGAGTCAGACGCAATGGAGCGGAGATATAGCGCCGATAGTGGACCGATCGGTGGACGAGTGGACGCCACGGAAAGGAGGTCGAGGTTCTTCACAGAACAATGTAGAGCAATCAATGCCGCAACTCTCGCGACATGCGTTAACCGAGACAATAACAAACACTTGTGCTGATAGTCAAAAAAAGTTTGATGAACATTTGACGACGCTGGAGCACGAATCGAGCGCAATGCTTGACGCTGCATTGGCATCGAGTGACTCAGACGACGAGAATGGTAATGCATTGAAAATTCCAGTGGAAAGTGACCAGGATTTGGTTAGATTTGAATTTGAAGAGACAAGCAAAAGTAATGAAGATGTGGCAACAGAAAAGAAAGAAGAAATGGGGTTCGAACGATCGTTTCTGAGTGGTGTAGATGATGGTGTGCAACGTGCAATTGATCAGGAGCTGGAAAGTAGCAGTGAGGATGAGGGACGACTAAATTTAGTTGAAAATGACGTGGGTGCGAATGACGATCGGAAAACAAAGGATGGTGGTATGTCTTCGAAGTTGGATCCAGTGATTTCGAATGAAATTGATAAGGAATTAGAATTTAGCAGCGACGAAGATGGCGCGAAAAGTTCTGTTGAAAAAATAGAAGGTGAAACGAATGAAAGGAAGGAGGATACTGATGAAAAACAGACGCTTGTGATGTCGATCGATGATGCATTAGACGACGAGTTTGCGGCACTAGAATCAGAGGAGCAGAATGTGGCAGATGATAAAGTGAGCTTGAGCTTGAGCAGCACCAGTGATAGCGACTCTAGTGACAGTAGTGACAGCGACTCTGAGAAAGAAATCACACCTGTTAGTGACGCTGACAAGATTGAGCCATCTACACAATTAGAAGACGATCGCAAGAAAGAGGACGTTTCATCTTTGACACGAGATCTTGCTGCCAATGACACAACGTTAGGTGAAGAGAGTATCGTCTCTGCTGCTAACAGTTCAAGTGAAAATGCAATGCAAGCATCATCTCCTGATTTAAAGACTGTGATAAATCCAAAAAATGATCATGAAAACACAAAAGAGATTAATGTTATTCATGACTTGACCCCGATCGTTGCTTGGCAGTCTGAAAAAGCTCAACATTGTCAAGATACTCAAGTTAATGAATCGGAGGTTACAGTTATTACAAACCAAAGCACGCCGCTTATTTTGGACACTGGTGAAGTTAAAGCCTCGCCAAGTTCTCAGAAAGAATCCACGTCAATGACACAATCATCAATGAATTGTTTTTCTACTAAAATTCGCAAAGCAGATGAAGCAGAATTACCAAAGACTTTCGAAGAATGTTCGAAAAAGATCAAAATCTCAAGTGAATCAACGTGTAAGTCACAGACATTTCAAAATCAAAAGCAGGATGAGAGACAGATCACGAAATCTCTCAATATCTTAAAACAAGCAATGATTCGAAATGAGAATGAAATAATCGACAAAGACTTTACTCGTCGAACTTTGACGGTATTAGCGAAACAAAGCGCTGTTATTATTAACACGCGTTTAGACAATGTGGTACGTTTTTGGGTACTTTATACCACAACGAGCCAGTGGTTTACCTAATTGTGTTGCATTGACAGAAAACACTGTGCCATTTTGTTGCCGACAGGTACCGAGAATTGCATTTGTCTCCTCTTGAGGTGATTAATGGTGCTCTAAGCATCTTTCGAACGCCACGATCGCGACATTTAATGCAAGAAAGACAAGGACTTGGTTATGTTTATATGCACGTGCTTTTACGTCTTGTATGGCAACAAGATGGACCAGATTTGTCATTAGTAAACGATTGTTTACTACATCTTGAAACTTTTCTCTTTGAAGATCGTGCCACTTGTGGAAACGCAATGTCAAGTGAAACTCAACATGTGCAACTTGTGAAATCAAAAATAGTATATGACAAAGCTTTTGTGGCACATATTTGGGCACTTTGGACATATTTATGTCGAGCTACGACCCAATTGACTCGTGCACGTGTAATGCTGTTTGATCTTGTGCGAGAGTACCCGGATATTCGAGGGTTATACTGGGCAGCAGCCATGGTGGAAGTGTATCCACTTATACTTGAGCAAGACTTTGATTCAAGTTGCGTGGAGCGTCAAGGATTGATAAAGGAGACATTATGTCATGTTCTGGTAACCATTTCAAGCGTCGGAGCTGCGAGACAAGAAATGCTATTGCATCAATCGAGTGTCTTCATTTTACATCGTATCGTTAATGCGACCCAGAGGCCAGAGCTTGAAATAATGGATGCACCAAATCCATCATTTGTTGTCAAAAAGCTCTTGACTTCATTAGAAGCTTTTTCTGTGGACTATTTCGAGCTTGCGAAATGTCTCGAACTGTGTGTTGCAGTATTTGGACTTGACGTGGTCACAACAAATTTCACGTTAGAAAAGTGTCAGGAATTATATTGTACTGGGTCTTTTGAGGTTAAAAGTGGCATTGTGACACTTGTTGGGCATATTGCCAAAAGTGTTGCATGGAAAACAAGTGACACACAACAGCCAAGATCATTGCATGATCATTATGTAGAATGTGTGCTGGAATGGTTATACCAACTTTTGTCAAATCAAATTTTACAACATTCAGATCCAGATAATCAATTGCACAAATTGGTTACATACTCTAGTGTAGCCATCGAATTAGTTCTTGAGTATTCAGCACCTGCTGGATTGGTGTCTCGACGGCGTGTCTTAGCTGCAATTGTCGAATGGTTTACTGCTATACCATCACACGAACTCATGGAGTTACCAGCAACGTTTTTAAGACGCCTTCGTTTTGCCGTTATAGCAGCTCGTCCAAGTGTGAATATAGTCTCAAAGAAATAATTGAGAATGACCATTCAGAAAGGACTTATTTATTAATGTAACCCCCTTTGCTAAAGTTGTCATTATTTTCGTAACGGACCTAATTGACGAGTCTCTAGGTTACGTCTTACTCTTGAGAGTCTAAAGAGTAAACGACGTGAATGGCTGAGAATTCAATTAATTGTGACGATTCCAAGGAAGTAAACGAGTTGAATCATGTTGATAACGTAGATAATGGTGATCAAATTATAGACCAAGAGATTCAAGAAAGTAAAGTACCAGATCTCGAGATACAAACAATTGAAAAAGTTCAATTATCCGACTCACCACAACCTTCTCCACGTCAACAAGCTGCAACGTCAAATGCTAGTCGATATCATTCATATCGTCAAGGAATGACTCGTGCTGAAAGATTGAAGATAATGATTAATCAAGCAAAACTAAAAGCACGTAAAGTTCGTCTTGGTGAAGGTATGAAATCGGTTTTTCGAGCTAGTATGGATGATATTGGTGCACTTGGTATTGGAATGCAGCTTTACTTTATGTTAACAAAGTATTTAAGTGTTGTATTCCTTTGTATGGGTCTCATTTCACTTCCTGCTGTAGTTGTGAATATGTATGGACATGGAATTACAAGTAAATTAGTAGATCCACTTCAACTTGCTTACTCTTCGATCGGTAATGGTGGTGTGAATGACGATACTGCAGCATCAGTTCGAAATTGTCTTCCAATTGGGGATATTGACTGTACATGGAAGACAGTTGATACCCCTCTAACATCAAACCCAAAAACTGTCACATGGATTATTACACTCACAGATGTAGTCTATTCCTTTTTCTTTCTCTGTTTCTTACTCTTTTATTCCTATCGTGCTACTATTGCAATTCAAGAACATCAAACAAAACATTTGACACCAGCTCGTTATTCCGTTCTAGTTCGTGGGTTACCAAAAGATGCAACTGAACGCGAAATTCTCGAACATTTTAATACTCGATACGATTTGACAAAACCTGAAAGTTATTGTAAACTTTGGTTTGGATGTTGTTGGGGTCGACGTCATCTTGTCAAGCATTCGCATTCAAGTAATGCAATCAATCGAAATGTTGTTTCGAATGTCGATCATTTAGAACATTCAACAACTATTTCGAAAGAATTCTATAAAAATACATGGATTGCAGAAGTTAGTGTAGCTCATCCAACTGGAGGACTCTTACGTGCATATTTATCTACAAAACATCTTGGTGAGAAGAAAGAAGAGATCGAAGCACTGATTCAAACGTTAGAAGATGAAAAACGACTTTATCCAACGGAATTTCAACCTGCTGATGAAAAATTAATTCATGCATCGCGTAAAAAACTTGAAAAACTGCATTCTCGACTTGCTAAACATGAGCGAGAGATTGAAATTATCAAGCACGTTGTACCAAAATCAGACAAGATGCAAGAAAAAAAAAAGCGAATGGAAATGAAAGCAAAGAATGCAACGTCAAAAGAAAAACTTGCTGCAGCGGCTTTAGCTGCTAAGACTGCAGCAACGAATACACAACAAGCATTTAATTGGGAAGCGTGTGAGTGTGCTTTTGTCGTGTTTAATAATCTCGAATCTCGACGTCGATGTTTACAAGATTATCGTAATTCAACACGATATTTATCACGAAAATGGCAACCAAAAGAACTTCGTTATCATGGATTTCCATTGATTGTCACCACTGCACCTGAACCATCAAATATCTTATGGGAAAATCTAGAAGTTACAAATCGTGGACGTTTTTATCGTCAATTTGTCACAAATCTGATCACAGTGATGTTATTAGTTATTTCATGTGCGATCATTTCGGCTGCACAGACAACTCAAGAACAATTTGCGAGTAAATCACCACCTGAAGGACTGTGTGATCGTGCTCTACCTGCTGTGTATTATGCAGATACATCATTTGCTTTTAATGCTCAGAAAAAAACAATTCCATGGACTTTAATGTGGGATTCATCTCGGACTTGTACGATTGATAAGTCAGGAGAAGCTCGTTATTATATCAGCTACTCCAACCATATTGTTAATAATTTGAATACTTCGAAAATCTCGTACGGACCTGAATATCGAAATCCAAAACGATGTGTTGATTCATGTATTTCGGATTCAAGTTCAGACATTTGCCATACGTTACCATGTTTTTATTATAATGATCTTGTACGGATGAAAGGATTCACATGTCAAGCATATGAAGCAAGCCACGTCTTGTCATGCTTTTGCTCAACGCAATTATTGGAAAGTATTCAAAAATATGGATTTATCAATGGATCGAAGAGACTTTGGACGATCTTACCATGTCGTGGATTTACGAAAGATTATCTACTTAAGAATGCTTTTACATTATTAGCTGCGGGTATTGTTGTGATAGTCAATTCTTTATTAAAAACAATCTTACGCATGTTTGCAGTGTTTGAGCGACATACTAGTGAATCGACAAAGATCATTCGAGTAGCCATTCGGATGTTTGGTGCTCAATTTCTTAATACTGCAGTTATTGTGATGATTGTAAACGCTTCATTTGGCTTACGTACAGTTCCTGTCGTGAAAGAATTACTAGGAGGTAAGTTTCGAGACTTTGAACGAGGATGGTATCCCACAGTTGGAATGGGAATTGCAACGACCATGTTATTAAACGCATTTTTACCTCAAATCACACTGTTAGTACAAATGTGGCTCGTGTCACCATTGCTTCAGTGGTACAAACGTCGTGCTATTCGTACACAAGCTAAGATGGATAAATTGTACGCAGGTCCAACGTTTGATATTTCACTACGATATCCAATGGTACTCAATACTGTCTTTGTCACTATGGTCTTTTGTGGAGGCTCTCCTGTCTTGCTTTATATTGCTGTTGTGGCTGCAACGGGTATTTATTGGCTTGATAAATTGTCAATTTTATACTTGTATAGTGTCAAAACAACGTACGATGAGATTCTAGGTGAAGTGACACTTCAAGTCTTACCATGGACATTAGCTTTGCACTTGGGGTTTTCTGCTTGGATGTATGGCAATCCTGATCTTTTGCAAGGGACAATGCTTGATTTACCATGGCTTTTAAAAACAATAGGACTCTCTTCTGTGGTCAAACAACATCCAAACGCAACTGCTGATGAATTATACGAAATCTTGACAAATGAAGTGGAAAAATACGACGTTTTGGGACCTCATGGATTACTTGTAAAGATAATTTACTCTCATGTCATGCTTATGACGGTTCTGTGTCTTATTGTGACACTTAGCCTCTTATTGTACACGATCTTTGGAACAATCGTATTTGTTGTACTTCGACAGATGTGGACAATCATCAAACATGCATTGCTCTTTCCTGTGAAACAGATTTTATCATTGTGTTTAAAAATTGACAATCAATTGATCTCGAAAACAACAAAGAAACCATCTGTGGTTTACTTACCAGAATTTGCTGAACCATTTGTCATGTCAGTTACACGACCATACAAAGCAGATGAAGGTCTTGGATTTCACAAACATTTAACGGAGAATACGTACAAAGTGACGTGTATTTGGCCGGAAGATACGCTTGATGGATTGGAAAGAGTGGCAGGGGACCCGAAATTAACGTGGGAAACTATGCAAGCACCTGTCAAGTCATATGCAATTGAAGCAAATGAGAAATATCGTCATAGTGTCAAACAAGTGCTGAAAGCTTGGCAGATTGTAAAGAAAAATCAAAAATTAGATATTAGTCCTGAATTAGTAGCGATAGATGTGCAGTTAACGAATCCAAGCCTTGAGGATAAAGTAAACAACAAAGACAACAAGAGTTTGGATGCACCAATTGAAGCGATTAGGCCGGAAGAGGTTGTTGAAACCAAGATTTCAATTGATGAAGATGAAAGTTTAAATTACGTTAACGAGAAGGGACAAGATGAAGAAAGAGAGGGTCAAGTCGAAAAAGGATTATCCACGAATGATGTCGAGAAAAAGGATCAAGACACTTCGAATGACGTTAAAGATGAGGGTCAAGACATCGATACTTTATCTTCAGAAGCTAGAGATGAGAGTCAAGATATGAAGGTAGTTACTGTGGAAGTTAATGGAGAGGGTCAAAACCTGGAAGTTCTTTCTAATGAAGTAAATGAAGAGGGTCGATGCGTGGAGAATTCATCTCTGGAAGTTAATGAAGAGGGTCGAGACGTCAATTTAAAGTCAAATGACGTTACGAAAGAGGGTCAAGATATGAATGTATCAATACTGGAAGTTAAAGAAGAGGGTCACAACATAAAGATATCATCTCTGATAGTTAATAGTGAGGGTCAAGACACCACAGCATTACCTCTGAAAGTTAAAGAAGAGGACCAAGAGATCGAAGTATCTTCGAATGGCGTTAAAGAAGAGAGTCAAGACTCTGAATTTTCATCATTGGAAGTTAAAGACGAGGGTGAAGACGTCGAGGTATCTTCGAATGAAGGTGAAGACTTCGAGGTTATTTCCAAAGAATCCGAAGAAGGGGAGCAAAAGATCAATGTGGAATCTTCGGAGGCTAAAGAAGAGAGTCAAGACATTGCAGTATCATCTTTAGTAGTTCAGGAAGATGGTGAAGACTTTAAGGTTTCATTGAAAGACGCTGAAGAAGGGGATGAAGACATTACGGTGCCATCATTGGAAGCTGAAGAAGAGGGTCATGACATCGAAGCATCTTTGGATGGCGTCAATGAAGAGAATCAAGTCGTCGAGGTATCATCTTTGGAAGTTAAAGACGAGGGCAAAGACATCGCCACTTTGAATGAGGGTGGAGCCTTCGGAGTATGTTTGAATCACGCTGAAGAAGAGGATCAAGACATCAATGTGCCATGTCAGGTAGCCGATGTAGAGGTTCAAGATTCCGCAGTATCATCTTTAACAGTTCAGGAAGTGGGTGAAGACTTCGGGGTTTCTTTGAAAGACGCTGAAGAAGGGGATAGAGACATAACGGTGCCATCTCTGGAAGCTGAAGAAGAGGGTCATGGCATCGAAGCGTCTTCGAATGGCGTAAAAGAAGAGAGTCAAGACGTCAAAGTATCATCTTTAGAAGTTAAAGACGAGGGTAGAGACGTCGAGGTATCTTTGAATGAAGGTGAAGACTATGGGGTTCTTTTCAAAGAATCCGAAGGGAGCGAGCAAGAAAACAACGTGCAGCTTTCGGAAGCTAAAGAAGAGAGTCAAGACAATGAGGTATCAACTTTGGAAGCCAAAGAAGAGGGTCATGACATCGAAGCATCTTCGAATGGCGATAAAGAAGAGAGTCAAGTCGTCGAAGTATCATCATTAGAAGTTAAAGACGAGGGTGGAGATGTCGAGCTATCTTTAAATGATGATGAAAATGAGGGCAAAAACGACGTTCAAGAAGAGATTAAAGGCTTTGAGGGTCAAAACGTCGAGGCATTTGCAATAGAACCAAAGAGAATGAGATGAATTAAGGCAAAATTTTTAAAATTTGGTAAAAATTAATTCGCAGCGTTGAGATTCAATTAACTCATAAATCACCTCATTCCGTTATTGTTATTATGAGGCAGTAGCTTTGACGTTCCATGCGCAGGACGACAATCCGATAGCAAATGCCTGAATTGGAGCCAAAGGGAATCGGAAGTCGAGTGCAAACTTGGATTTCGAATACTTGCCAAACTGTAAGACCACAGAATTACTTCCAGCAGGATCTAAACCCGCACTTTCACCATCAAGCATGAGCATGAAATTCTTTGCCGAAGCTTCACGAATTCGACCTCCATGAAATTTTAACATTAGCGAATTGACTTCAGGGCACCAAACCGGCAATTTACTTCCAATTTTAATGCGATCGCTTGTGGGAGCATCAAATGTAAAAATGTACTGTTGCTTGTTCCGTGGAGACGGTGAAGTCATAAGTCGAGTTTGAGAAATACCTCGTGGTGTCCCTCCCGATGTTGTGACACCTCGACTCACTCGTGGACACCAGACAACACGAGAACGTTTATCATCCATAATGGCTGGAATCACAACAGAAAAGCATCGCATTTCAGAACCAACGACACCTGCAGCTTTCGTATAGTGTGAAATGTCAGCTAGAAGCTGTCGATCTGCACCTTCAATAGCAGCAGAAGTAGCGTCTTCGTGAATGTTGCTGCACGTAAATGTGCTAAAACTTTGATCGCATCCTTCACATCCACAACTATAAAGTTTAAAACTGTGATCGGTTGACTTTCGTAGGACAGCACAATAATGACCAGTAGGTTCTTCGGCTTCGTCAGACTCTGGAAAGTTTTCGTACTGAGAAATGTAAAATGTACCACCAATTTGCTTGGCGCTGAGCAAGAACAAGTCATTGTTCCAAAACATTTTAAATTGATTTTTGTTCATACGTTCCACAATCGAATAAGTCCACGACTTGGCTTGAGACGGGCTTAAACATTGCTCAGCAAGATATTCGCGAGCGTGACCATTTTCAAGCATATCCATGTCTTGAAATGGTGCCTTGTAAATAGTATTACCCCACGTCGGACTCGCGACTTTAGCCGTTGGCGTGCCATCCTTTTTAAGATCTTCAGTTGGTGTATTAAGACGAGCGGCCAATATTTTTGAGGCTCTTTCAAGAAAGCCACCAGGTGCCACATTTGACTTCACGTTAGATTGTGCTTGTCGAGGTAAGTCAGTGTCAATGAATAAACTAGAGCGTAGTGCCGTGTCAGCCATCGTAGCTCAAACTGTTTACTTGATGAAGTTTAGGTAAGTAAGCTTGTGATGGATAGATACCTTACTTCGAGGACGATATCTCACTCCGCTAAAAAGAAGTATTTTAAGTGCTTTCCAGAAATAGTTAATACAATTTAAAAAAACTTGTTCTTATCTCTGGTCAATCAAAAGTTTATACATATTTAAAGTATATTCTAATTACTTATGTTTTTAGAGTTTGTTTAAATGAAGTATTAAGTTCAAAAGGTAAATCGTTTAATACATGGGTCTCCTTACATGTTCCTCTTGGTATCAAAACTGCGTCATTCGCATCTCGCCATGGCTCAATGGTAGCTGTCGTGGTATTCGTAATTATCCAATTAAACTCCTTTGTCGCAATCAAAAATTTGTGCGTAAAGCTGCGGGAAAATACTATGAAGTGGAGCGCGAGTGGAATTTAGGCATCGTTTTAGAACCATCGGAGGTCAAATCGCTAAGAGATCACAATGCCGATCTCTCTACTGCATTTGGAGCTTTTTACAAGCACGAGTTGTTTATACATGATCTAAATATTCCAGGTACTATATTTTAGATTGAGTCAAAGGAAAAGGTTTGAGATTTTTTTTAATACTTTGCAGTATATCGTCATGGACTGATTGGTCGACCAGACCCAACGCGAGTGCGTAAGCTGTTGGCAAATCGCTCTGAATTAAAGAAACTTGAAGATTTCGCTAATCGACCCAATGCACAGCTGGTAAAGATTAGGATAGACCAGAATGTTTGGAGATTATCGAGTTGACCCATGTATTTGTAGATTCCAATGCGAATTGAAGTTGGCAACACAGGCTGGATTAAGGTCATTATGGCAGCGTGCTTTAAGCGAGGACAAATTGATAATCGTAGACGTGACGATGAACGAGAAGTCAAACGGCAGCTACGGGACTGGTAAACAAGACAATAAACCAAAATAGTATGGAAAAAGATTTAAAAATCCAAAGAAATATACTACGCAATCAATATTCGAGCTTCTTTCTCATGCCAATTGTGATTGAGCTCGTCAAATTACTCGACTCAGTTGCAACTTGTTCATCCTCCTAATGGAGGCCATACAGCACTCTTGTCTCTGCTGCTTGTGCCTTTTTAACCACTTCAACAGCAGCTACTAGACTTTTTCTTGTTACCCCCATATGGATCCACAATTTCTGGCAATGCATTGCTTTCAGCCGAAGCCGTGGGTAGCGCCTGGCTGATCTGAATGAACAAATCTGACACATTTGTGTCTTCTTTTGCACTCGTTTCGATAAACAATGCCCCAATCTCTTCGGCGTACGCTCGCGCTTGTGACGCTGGTACTTCCCGTTTTTCTTCCAAATCACTCTTATTACCAGCAATAGCAATAACAATATTGTCTGGACCTAGTTGTTTTAATTCTTTCACCCAGTTCTTCAATGTCGTTAGCGATTGCTGTAAGCAAATAAATTCAATAACTAAGTTCATATAATTTGATATAAAGTAAAACATGTAACAAAACAAACCTTTCTTGTAATATCATATACAACGATAGCAGCAGCAGCTCCTCGGTAGTACATAGGCGCCAAGCTGTGGTACTAATATAATTCAAGACAACAAAGAGAATTCAATATTTCAGTGATTCCTTCTACAAAGTAAACTTTATCACCTTTTCCTGACCAGCGGTATCCCATATTTGATACTTAATAGGCGTGTCGTTAACCACAATCATTTTTGACATGAAGGAGGCACCGATAGTTGACTCGGAATACGGACGAAAGTTGTTGGTAACAAAACGAAGTACCAGCGATGACTTGCCCACACCCGTGTCTCCTAGTAAAACAACTTTCACCTCGCGTGCTTTGCTGTTGCCTGTGTCTCCCATGTTTCAGTCTAGTAGTCGACGTTGTATTCTTCTCTAGCTTTTTTCTCGCTCTTTGTCACGATAAGACGCTTTTAACCAATAGTAAGAGAAAGAAGTTTGTGTTTTCATTGGTTAAATTCTAAATCAGATCCATTACCTAACTGGGCGGAAAGAACGAGACATACAAGAGACGACACTCGTATCGAAACATTTACAATCAACTCTTGCATTTGATTAGATTCATACTTCGTCGCTTGTAACAATTGTCGATATTTAGACATTTGTATAATCCACTGTGGGTTATTAGCTGCAATTGTCGATCTCTTCGAGCTGTTGAAGCAATTGACGACTATTGATAAAGATGGCACAGAAATGGCTACGACAAGATAATAAACACGACTATACATGGTAAAAACTATAAACATTAGCTCTAAGTCGTAATTATTGAAGTGCTCGTAAATAAGGTTTTTACAAAACGATTGGCTGCAAAAATCATAAAGCTTTTAATTTTGTCATTTACAGTTTTGGTCGGTTCTCTGATACTTGATTCCAATGATTATCATAACTCTAGAATTACACTGACATTTGTGATGACAATATTTTAGTTGAGGAATCAAATAGAAATCACTCTTTGCTTCATATTAAAGCGGTTTTGTGTGCTCGAGAATGAAGAAAGTTAAGCTTTTCGTAGGAAGTGCCGTCTGATTATGTTGAACATTATGACGATACGAAGCTGTTACGCTCCTTTGGGAGTTTCTGAGACTCGACGCACAAACCAATTTGTCATCATGTACATGAAACAAATCTACAAACTGTTTTGACGATTATGTGCATGTGTAAATGTCGTTTTAGAAGCACATACCTTCTACTTCTTAATGTGACTAATCATCGAGCTGAACACATCGAATGCCTAAGCAATTATACTAGCAAAAGACTTATCTCCCGACTGACACTTGACTCTTGTGTAAACCTCTACGTTCTAATCATGGCGTCGTAATCATGGGATTTGATGACAGGGAGCGCAATCGCGATCACATTCGCAACCTGACGTTGCTGCTGCTCGTTTTCAAGGTCTTTATTCTATATGTTTTGCTGGTATTGATGTTTAGCTTGTATTAACTCTCTCGCCACGTTATAGACACTGCAGATCATGGAGTGTAGCGTTCTTTGTCGGGTCGTTATTCTGCTACAATTTGGAAAGTACTTCGTCGTTGCACGAGATTACGAAATGGTGCAAACGTTGTTTTCGAGTGTTTAACTCGGCTTTACTGGTCGATGATGACAATCTTAACACCGCTAAAGCTCTTAGTTTTGCAATAGCGACATGGCTATACAGTACAGACATTTGAAGCAACGCAGCTTCATTTATCATAAGAGTGGCAGTTCTGATCAGTTCTGGTCGAAAAAGATGCAAGCCCAAAAGAGTCGCTTCCGAGTTATTTATTTACCAACCTGGCGTTGCCAGTTTCGAGACGGTATACGACGCAGATTATCAATTTAGCCAGCCGACTACTTCAATTAGTTATTTCTTCTTGTAAGGGCGAAATGGTAGAGCAAAGCTCTACAAGAGATCGAATTTGAATGTTGCGCTGCAAGAAGCGGAAGAATCGGATAGCAATCATGGTGACGACGAGGAGTTCAAGCTTACCTTAAATAGAGTAGCGAATGTGACTTTGACAACAAGCACAACCAGTCGAAATAATCTTGATTGTTGCAATACACCTTCACACTTTTCAGTTACTTATTTTCCTGCACACCAATCGCGTTCATTATTATTCATTTTCTAGCAACGTCGATGATCAACAACGCCAGTTGCAAAAACTGCTAGAGATAACCACGTCGAACGTACTGATATCAACAATGATTGGAAAAGTATGATCACATACTCGCTCATCTGGTAGCAAGTTCCGGTAGTGGTTGTCCGAGCCATATCTCGAATTCTTTTTATATAGTTGATCCAAGTGCTAAGCTCAGCACTACTGGCGTTGCATCCATCTGACCGAATAAAAATACGATATAGGTCGGTTGGATACTCAAGGTGCGAGTGACAGCATATTTGATGACCGACATGACAAATAATGTTGTCGACTCGATTCGTCTAAACGACATCGAAAATGATGACATGGTAAGCAGCTTTGTTACTGCATCCAATATAAATGCCACAGAATCAAGTAGCGTCAATCTCAAAGATGTTAATTTCCTCAGGCAAACATGGCAGATATATCGAAAGCAATAATTTCTTGTGGAAAAGTGAAAAGCGCATGTGGACTCTTATCAATATGGTCATGTTTCATAGACCCAATGTTTCAAATGTTAGACATTTTAAGCTTAATCTGATGGCAGTTTTTTTAAATGTACACTACAAGGCGTGTTTAGCAAGTTCAGTAATTCACTTTTTCTCATCCATTTGTACCTTTCAATCCGTAACTTCTGACAAACCTAATGATACCCATGATGCTCCTGATCGCACGAAAGCAAAAAATAGGTTTGCACCTTATATTGTTTCTTCGAAATATTGCTGGTATTCTGGAATATGAATTGTAAGCCAACGTCTCGCTACCTGACTGCATCCCAATCTCGTTCCAACGGCTCCTGCTTAAAATACCCTGAAGGGCATCAAAAAATTCAAAAGGTGTGGCAGTAAAGTGATCAGCTTCGAAAAGAGTCACATTCAATTTTCTAACCTCTTGGATAAACCTTTTTGTCATCTCTTCTCCTCGCTAATTGCCATGAAATTGAACGTCATTGTGAATTTTGCTGCCGTCGTTGCTCTTGCACTCGCTCAAGTTAACACTGTCAACGCTGGCTATCTTCGTACTTTTGAAAGTTATCTGACAAGCTACGATGCCAGTACTAGCAACAGCGGCGATGGCGAACGACTTCTTGAAGAAGTAGAGAGTTCGGAAGGTGAAAATAGCGAAAGTCTGGAAGGTGATAGCAGCGAAAGTTTGGAAGGCGAAAGCAGCGAGAGCTATCATAATGACCGGTTCCTTACTGAAGTTGACAGTGAGAGTTTCTTGCAGGAATCAGATAATCTCTTGCTGGATAAGGTCAGCGAGAGCGTGGACAGCAGTGCCAGTAGCAATGGCTCGGAAGGAAGCGACGGATCTGAAGTCGGACGTTTGTTGCAGGAGGTTGAAGGCAGCAATGACACAGACGATCACGATAACGGACATAACAGCACGAACGATGATGATATAGGAAGTGACAGTATTGCAAGTGACGAGAGTAGCGAAAGCGGCAGCTCTTAATGCATTGTAGCAATAGCTAAAATATACTATTTTACTTAAATTGCAGTGAGAAAATAAAATCAATATTTTTTAGTTTACACTCAAAGATGGTGTGGTTTACAAACTTCATTTTTGTAGAATGTATTTGGCACGAATGTCTCCAGTGACACTGAGGAATCTTTTGGAGTCCGCGTGAAGTAATACAAAGATGATAAGTTAAAACCATAATTCCCATATGTTTTTTAGGTATATGAATGCATTCCGTGATCTCTTTCTAACTATTTATCATTCGCATAACAGTAACGCTGCACTCCTTTCTAAGTATGCAATAGATACCCGTTTGACCTACCCAACCCACCAAGCCGTGAGTTTCGTTGGGATCACAAGCCATCCTCGTCGCAAATTGTTCTCGTCTTTACGACCTTGTTAGTCCACCTTATCTACTTTTTTAACACATGGATCGAGTAGCCGCAAAGAGAACAAGGCACTTGAGGCCAACGTTGTGAATTCTTTATTTATAACACAACGTAATTTGCACAGAAAAGAGTCGTGCATCGCAACGTCCGACTTCACAAAACGTTACACGGCCACACCGCTCCTCACCAATTGAGGCTTCGTCGAGGCTTCTTTACCCTCAATGTAAACGCTCGTCTTTGAAGGAGTCGCGCCCACCTAATTCGTTGTGGAACATGTCAGGCGTCATGATAAGAATAGTGCACTCAATTGTGGTCAAGAATACCAGCTCGCTTGTGAACAAGCAACAATGTCGCAGCAACCTTCGATAGGCCGGTTACCACTATACCACATTGTTTCTGGGGCTCACAGGTCAGGTTTCTTGGTATTTGATATGAAGCCCTGTTCCTAGAAAAGTAAAGAAAGTATGGCAAATTCAGTAGCGTCGTGCGATTACTTCTTACGAGCGACTTTCAAAAACAGTAGAGAGAACGCGCGGGCATTTAATATGACAAAAGTATAAAATATCAATGCTTTCCGCAACAGATAAGTGTTATCTTTAGGTGAAGTTTGAAGACTGTAATAGCGTAAAACATTTTCAAGTCCTGCATCCGGATTCGTGACACGACATCATCATAGGTAAGGCATTGCATAAACGCACCAATCTGTCCGTCGACTTCGAATCAGAAATTTCAGGCCACACACTTCTCTTCTAGTGTAACATTGGCGTAATTTCATCTGCCTCAGTCAGAAACAAGAATGCTTTTGATGTGAACACAAAGCTTCGATAGCTTCCATTTAGAACATGAAGTTTCGCGTATTGACAAGTCATAATTTTATCAGGTGTCTCGAGCTGAGCTTGGAAGGCAGAAGCGAGTGTGAACCGAGGTTGCAGGTCGAGACAGAAACAAGCGATTGTTTATCGTGGTCTCCAAAGTATCTCTGATGAAATGGGCAAGAACGACTGCATGTCATAGTCCGCGGAGTTTTTTATTTCATGTAGATGGAATATTACCGATACGAGCTGCTGTCTTCTGTGCCAGGGGCGATGGGAAGTGGAGGCGGCTGACTACGACATCTCACGTCCCAATGCATGGGAATGTATAGAGCGACTGTATGTAACGAATACCTTGGTCATAAAGAGGATGAATCACCCTTATCAGGAAAAGACGGCACTGCTGTGACAGAACTACGTTGTGGCGCAACCGCCATGTTGAGCTTCGCGGATAAGTGGTGGGAAAGAACATTCAGTCTTGAATGGAGTGACCAGTATAGTCCCATGAGCTGCTTATCTCCCTATATTACCTCCAACAAAATCTTCAATAGCTAGACATATTATCCTTAGTAGATATGTGCACGAATTGCAAGACTGAATGTCATCGAAATGGTACGGAAGGTATCGTAAGAGGGATTTGATCCATGTTTCCTCGTAGATTAATCTGTCTTCAGGGACAATCGCGGGATACTGTGCGCCAAAATGGGGATTGTAATGTCATGGAGTGTAAAATTCAATCTTTAATGGAGGAATGTCGGAGTGTAGTGAAATGCAGCGGGGCTGCCGTGACTCTTTGCTTAGACGAAGCTTAGCTTAGGTCGCCGACCTAACAATTTTTCAAAGTACCAGTACGAGTGTAGCGGGTCGCAATCCGCTACCTCCAAGTATTAAAGCCTTAACCAAGGCAAATGAACACTTCTGTTCAAAATTTAAATTTTGTGTAATATTTTTAGTTGCGACAGGGCCGCCGATATCGAAACCCTAGGTTTTTCCTAACCAATATAATAATACCTCATTAATATAGCAAAACCTCATTAACATAGTAATATGCATAACTACTGAAAGTCCTACCACATGGTGGCTTCTTCTTACGGTGTAGCCACACCACTGTGCCACTAGACGAACTGTGTAATACACCCTTTCAACTTAAAAAACCACCTACAAACTCTTTACGCCTAATCATTCCGAATAATGC